TTTGTGCACCTCCTCGCAGCGATGGAGGGATGGTGAAGCTCCGAGGGGAGGTCGGTCCCTGAGGTCTGGCTTCAGGGTTTTCAGCGGCCTCTACCGCTGCCTGTCGTCAGCGCAGCTTGAAAGCGGTGGGAAACAGAAACACTATGGCTTCCAGTCTGTCTCTTACTCAGGTAACACTGTCTTACAACTCAAATATAACGACAGCAAACGCTTTCTGCCCTCTGCCTGTTACGCTCGGGGATGTTTCGGCAGCGTCGGTTAAGCCTGGCTGAAAGAATCGCGGGCTTTCTTTGATTCTGGTTCCTCTTTTGGAAGTTTAGCCCTGCTGTGACTGGGAAAAGTTTCTTCCTAATCTCTTTGGGGACTGCGTAAGGGCGTAGCTAGCTAGCTAGCCTGCTAGCTAACAGCTAGTTTGTGACCAGTGTTGGGCTGTTTTAGAGTCGCTTTATCAAAGTTGAGATAAACCGTGTAAGCTAGCGCTACTCGTCTTCGTTTCCTTTCGGGTGTTTTCTAATCGTATTTAGTGCTGCCCCGGTTTGCTGCAGGCTATTTGGGTGTTGGGCTGCCCATGTGTGGCTCTGCTGTGGCTCTACTGTCACATTTCTGCTACTTCAGCCTCTGCTAACATTGTTTTTCCTCTGATAAAGCACCCAAGCTATATACAGTAAAGCTTGTAGCCTATGTGTTGGATTTCCTTGCCGCGTATGTAGCTTTATTACATGGTTAGACTGAATAGGCTGCCTTGTTATTGCTATTATTAGAAGTAAACATGCTTTGGTGATTGGCTTGGTGTCTTTCCCCTCTGTGACCTTTTAAAAGTGGACAGCGTTAACAGTTACCCTGTTAGCTGCTGCTGTTAACAATTAGTTAATAGAGAAAACTCCTCATATCGTTAGCTATTAGTTGTAACTAGCAAGAGGAAGTGAATTGTACAAGCAACTAGCCACCTCTACTGTCGTAAACGGTTGCACAGTTGCTGCTAGCTAAATTAAGTTCTAAATAATGTAGCGTCAGAATGTGTTTGTGTTGTTTAGGAGGCTACGGGCAGGTTAAATTAGCAGCTTTCAGTCGTGGACTTGTTACCTGAGCTGCCGTTACCTCCAGCAACAGACAAGAGTTGCCTGCCAGGAGCAGCTTTGAGATCCTTGTCTCTCAAATGGCTTAAAACCTGTGTTTATCTGTGAGCTGTGGGAGTTCATTGGCCTGTCAGGCACCAGTGCTTGTTGCAAGTGTTCCTGTCAGATGCCCGATAATCCCCAAAGTCGCCTCATGTTTGGTGTTGATAGTGACATCAGTGTGCTTTATTACCATGGGTGGTTATAATCTCTAGAACAGTCTAGCCTGTCCCGCCAGCTCCTGCGCCCTGATGTTTCTGGCTATCTGCTGCAGTTTTGTATGGGCTAGCTGGGGGATGATTGAGGGGTGTTTTTTCAGTGCTCAATTAAAGTCACCAGTACAAAGACCACAGTGTTACAGACGCCAACAGTCCCAGGCACACTATTGTGTGTCATAGGGGAAAAGAAAAAAGTTGCATTGACTAGAGAAAGATATGTGTGTGTCAACAGTTATTTCACTGTAAACTGGTGGGTGAAAAAGCTGACTGATAACTTTGCTTTTTGTGTGATTGAGTTGTTTTCTGTGTCAGATCTAAGTGTTTTACAGTAGAGAGTAATCTCACATGTGTCTGAAAGCCTTAACCTCCATTAACCAGCCACTCCCTGGTTGATTCACACTTGAAACAATTACTGTCCATCCCTTTCCTCCCTTTCTTGCACCTGCCAATTTGAATCCAAACAACCAGTTGTCAGTTTCAGCTACACAAATAAGGAAGCACTGCTTTATTTCCTTTTTAGTCCAACGGTAGACGTTTTTCTTAACAGAGGGAAGAGGGGTGTTTAGGGGGGACATGACAGAAGGCCAGACTAACTGTTGCCTTTGGAGTGACGCCTTGTTGTAAATGCCTAAAGCTGACCAGGGGGCCCCAGGAAATGTAGCCTGCATCCTGAAGTTATCACAAAAGTTATCAGTCTCTCTGCATGCAACTCAGCATAAACCTTCTGGTGTATTCTGAGTCATTCATCCATTCTCCAGAGTATTTGTGTAGATCTTTATGAGGAAATGCAGAGTAGCTTTTCAATGAAACAATCAGCTGATAAATCGAAAAAGGATTCAGTTGTTTGGAAAAGCGATATTTTCTCAGCCTCAGTGACATTTAAACAGTTTCTCTTTGTATTAATTGAATATATTTAGGTTGTGGCTTGTTTTTGATCAGATATACAGCTCAGGTACGTCAGCATTTCAACTCAAAAAGACAAAATAGCTGCCTCATTTTAGTAGGGAGAGATTGTAGTAATTATTAGGGGTGGGGGGGAAAAATGGATACTGTGTAGCATGGTGATATTTTGTTTGCTAATAATGTATGGATACAGGGACAGCAGAAATCGATATTTTGTTACAAAAAAGGTTTTTGTGCTCTGACTTCAGAGCATGTTGATCCTTTTTCTGAGCAAGAATCCTGACATTCCTTCACTGTCCAAATGTGTTTAACTTGTTTTTGGCAGCAATAAACATGACAGTTTACTTATTTTAATTTAAGACATGTTTTATTTTAATTAAGTTTAAAACTTTTTTATTTAATGCAAAATTATACTTTGTTTTAATTTACTTTCAAATTCTTCAGTTGCTGAAGGGGCTGCATAGTTTTCATAAACTGCATAGTTCAGAATAGCTATAATTGTACCAGATGGTTGATTCAGTTAAGTTGGACTAGACTGTAATACAAACCGTTCAGTTTGTCAACAATAAAACTGAAATGAGAGAAAGACTGAGTGTGAGACTTTGATATTAGAGAAAATGAATATTGATAAAGTTTACCTTTATGTACAGAATCTGAATATCGCAAAATATTTTAAAAAATTGCAATAATATCGTATCGAGGGATATATGGTGATTCCCACCTCTAATAATTATTAACAATGCTGCATAAATACGGATTTTTCTAAGCAAAATTACACAATATTTGATGTGCTTATATGGCAGGAAGTAGGAAAGTTTAAGAAATCGCTTTTTTCAGGCATTTGTTAAGAGTAAAAGTTGGATTTATTGTAATTATAAGCAGCTGACTTATTAATAATGAAAACTGCTGCACCTTGTTGCTACTCATTGTCATAGATGCTGCATTGTTTTTGTCTTTATTTGTTATCCTACCTGTAACACAGCCATTATAAACTTTTTGGTTTTGCAGTCACACTGTGGCTTCTTTAATGGTAAAATTTCTACTGAATGAGTCATTGAAGTCATTTTTAGTTGTTTTTAACACATTTAGCCCGTGGCTATGCTTATAACAAGCAGCTCTTTAACTGGCTCAGTGGATGACAAACTTTCTGTAGCCGTCAAACTCTTGTTGGTTATTTCAGAGCTAACTTTGAAAAATCATTTGAACGATTAGTGTTAGATTGTTATAAGGAACATTTTTGAATTTAGGTAAAAATGACTGTGTTTTAAATTTTTATTCTTCTCTTTCTCCTTAAACAGCTCTCCAGTGGAAACCCCATCTATGACAAATACTATCGTCAGGTATGCCATTGTATCTTTCCCATGGGTTACAATGTGTGTGCATATAACTCCTGCATAGTTTGGCTTTACATGGCTCTGGATGGAGATAATCCAAAAAAATAAAATCTTCCAATGAGGGGGTTTTTGTAGTTTCAGCACACAAACTAAACCTGCATTTATACTGCTGTCTTGCAGCGAGCAGTGGTCTCACTTCTCTCTATCAGTTTCAGTGCCTGTGTCCAATAAAGGAAGTACCTCAATGAATTAATAATGTTTCCCTTTGCCCAACATGTCAGCAGCACTCCCTTTGAGCCTCATGAAAGACGACTAAGCCAATAGACTGCTGAGAAAATGGCTTTAGTTTATTACCAGCATTGATTTAAATGACTCAGAGGCTCCAGGGCCGATTTTCATGGTTTTCAGTTGTTCCCCATGTTTTTTCGAAGCTAAGAGTTTTGTCTTTGTTAGCATTTTGGCTTGTTATACTGATAGTTTCTAAGATGATATAAGCTTTAATGTGTGTGTAGGTTGATCCGACTGGCAGCGGGCGAGTGGCAGCAGCTGATGCAGCTCTGTTCCTAAAGAGGTCAGGTCTGGCTGACCTGGTCCTCGGGAAGGTGAGTGGAGATGCAGCTCTCTGTTAGCTTTGATGTTCTCATCGATGCTAACAGATGTGTTATCTGTAAATGTCTCCTTAGATCTGGGATTTGGCTGACTCTGAACGAAAGGGAGCACTCAACAAGCAGGTAGCAGCACACTGTCAAGTAGCTCCAAAGTAAACTCCTTCAGAAATGTGTTCATCATCACCAGGCTTACGTCACTCTTCTTCTTCTGCCCTCAGCAATTCTTCATAGCCCTGCGGCTGGTGGCTTGTGCTCAGAATGGCCTGGAGGTGGCGCTCAAGAGTCTTAATGTGGCTGTTCCTCCCCCGAAATTTGTAAGTCTGCTCCTGTGTGCTATAAATCCACACTGTGCCTGCTATTAAAGTCACTGCTGGTTATTTGAAGTCCAATACAGTAGATCTGTGGTATATTCACAGGTGTTTGTTTCACTACAAACTACTTTAACTGTTAGTATTTGGTCTTGGCTTTTAAAAATATTCTTTAATGTATTTTTAATGCAAACACTGAAATAGAAAAATATTTGTGCTCATCTCCAGCATGACAGCAGCAGCCCACTGTTAGCAGGAGGAGGGGCTGCTGACCTTCCCTGGGTTGTCAAGGTGAGGCGC